CTCTCACCTCATTAGATCACTAGGTTATTGTGAAACCCCTGGGAATAACAGGGTATGTGCCAAGAGTACTGTTCAATCACTTTGCCTCTCTGTTACATCTCTTACCCTGTCCCATGTCAGTATTTTGTCTATTTAAATAGTAAACCCTCTGGTGCAGGCATCCTGGGTGAAATCCTGGCCCCATTGAAGTCAATGGCAAAACTCTCATAAATTTCAATGGAAACAGGATTTTACTCTTTGTCCTTACATGTCTATAAAGCACAATGCTCACCAGTGTTGCTATATAAATGGTAACACTAATTAATAAAACAGCTGCTCTTTATGATGATGCTTTCAGAAGCACTGGCAGTAAGGGAATGTAGATACTTAGGGTAGCCAGGTGTCTGGTATTCTACCGGAATGTCCGGTCAAAAAGGGACCCTGGCGGCTTCAGTCAGCACTGCTGACCAGGCCGTTAAAAGTCTGGTTGGCAGGGCTGGCAGGCTCCCTACCTGGCTCCGTGAGGCTCCCAGAAGCGGCAATGTCCCTCTGGCTCCTAGGCGGAGGGACGAGCAGGGGGGCGCCGCGCACTGCTCCCTCCCCATGCACCGGTTCCACAGCTCCCATTGGCCAAGAACCACTGCCAATGGGAGCTGCGGGGGAGGCTCCTGCAGACGGAGGCAGTGTGCACCGTGCAGAGCCGCCTTGCTGCGCCTCTACCTAGGAGCCAGAGGGACATGTTGCTGCTTCCTGGGACCCCCCTGAGGTAAGCTCTGCCTGGATTTTGCTCCCCACACCCCCTCTCACACGCCTGCCCCAACCCGAGCCCCCTCTCATACCCAAACTCCTTCCCGGAACCCGCACTCTGTACCCCCTCCCACACCTCTACCCCCTTCCCCAGCCCTGAGCCCCCTCCTGCACCCTGAACCCCTCATTTCTGGTCCCACCCCAGAACCTGCACCCCCAGCCCAGAGCCCATACCCACTCCACACCCCAACCCCCTGCCTCAGCCCAGAGCCCCCTCCCATACTCTGAATCCCTTGTCTCCACGCCCCCAGCCCAGAGCCCCCTCCTGCACCCCAAACCCCTCATCCCTTCCCCCACCCCAGAGCCCACACCCCAACCCCCTGCCCCAGCCCTGAGCCCCCTCCTGCACCCTGAACCCCTCATTTCTGGCCCCACCCTGGAGCCTGCACCCTCAGCCGGAACCCTCACCCTCTCCTGCACCCAACCCCCTGCCCCAGCCCGGTGAAAATGAGCGAGTGAGTGAGGGTGGGGGAGAGCGAGTGACAGAGGAAGGGGAGATGGAGTGAGCGGGGGACGAGGCCTTGGGAAAGGAGCAGGGCAGGGGCGGGGTAAGGGTGTTCGGGTTTGTGCAATTAGAAAGTTGGCAACCTTAACTAAACTTCTTTCCCTTAAATTAGCAGCCATTCCAGAGACCGTAAATGCTTGGGGTATGTCTACTCTGGAATAAAAAACCTGCGGCTGGCCCATGCCAGTTGACTCAGGCTTCTGAGGCATGGGATCAAGGGATCTTTAATTGCGGGGTAAACATTTGGGCTCAGGCTAGAGCCCAGACTCTAGGATCCTGCGCGTTGGGAGGTCTTAAGAACATTAAGAACACCATAATTAAACAGCCCCTTCGCCCAAGCCCCATGAGCCTGAGTCAGCTGGCACTGGCCAGCTGCAGGAGTCTAATTGCAGTGTAGACAAACCCTTGGTGTGGTCATAATATCTGCTGCTTTGCTTCTACCCAAATTGCCTCTTGTGCAACCCAGTGACCCACTAAAAAATGTTGCTGGATTTTAACATAAAATATGACTATACAAAGAAAAGTACCACACACATGCTGAAATTTGGGATGAGATCCACAAATAAAGCTTGTGGTACAAGACCTGCTTTCTTTAGTGTTACCTCATCCTCCTTTTCTCCTCATTTGCTTGATTCCTCCACTTGTCATTTTCTACTGTAATCTAGGTTGTAAGGTCTTTGGAACAGGGACTTTCTTTTTAAAAAATGTTTGTACAGTGCACGCATCTAGTGCAATGGGTCCCTGATCTTGATTGGGCATTTAGGCACTACCATAACACAAATAATAAAATTATAATAATAATAAATGTTAGTCTACCAGAGATGTTAACGTGTGTACAAGTTGAAAAAAATGTGTATTAACGGAGATGCAAACATCACCAATTTTGGAAAATATGTATTAATTTCAAGAACAATACAATCCATACGTTGCAATATAAAGAGATGGACCAGTTTGGACAAATGAACTTCCCAAATGAAAAACACATTTTCGGAAGAAAGCAGAACATTTCAAAACTCTATGCCAAAGATATATTCTGTAATCTGAATTCTCTGGTCCATTGCAGGAGTGCAGATGATACTGCCATTTACTTTTGATATCATCATCTGTCTGGAGCTTTCATATTTCACTAAAATGTTTGTCAAAACCTCAAACACTCACAGATGGTATTTTTTCACCTGTGTTGAGAGCCAATGTAAATATATATTCTTCCTTCTGACCTTGTTAGAAATGCTTTCTTGATGAAAAATTGAAAAACAGATCAATACCTTGACTTGAAGACAGTCCCTGAGCAGAGACTGCACTCAAAAGTAATGCTTCCCCTATTCCCTGGGCTTTCCGCAAGGAGAAACTTTATATACACACACACACACACCACACACACATATGTGTGCATGCACACACACACACACAGACACACACACACAGACACAGCTGTACTTTTTAGAAAACTACAATTATGAACTCCAAAAATCTTTGCCAAGATTTTTGTTCTCGGTGTAGTTTAAAAGAAGGTACAGTTAGCATTGAACATTTACACGGTTTGGAAATTCTTTTGCAAAACACCTTAGACCACTTACATTTCCTTGCTGACATTCCTTTGTCCAGGAACCTTTAAGTGCCATGATTATAAATCTTCCTGAGAACTTGAGTCAGAAGTGGAAAGTCTTTTATCAATAACAACTCTTTCTTCAAGAACCTGTTGTATGGGTACCCATAGTAGAACCTTCTGATCTTTTTTTTTTTTTTTAATTCTGGGGACAAAAAGGTTAATTTTGTGAAGCATAGCTCTCATTTATTGAAAACTAGTCTAATGAACTGCTAGTCTACTGGAGCCAATCTCTCTCTCCTCATCCCAACTGCTTTTCATACACTTTTTTCTTGAAAAGTGAACTGCCCAAATAGCTGTTGTGTTCCTTTCTACCCATTTTATATTAGAAACGTATTTCCACAGCAATGAATTTCTTGTTCCCCTTTGTTTACCTGGGTAAACTATTAAGGTGTTGTCCGAGTCCCTAACAAATGGAGGCCCACCTCACAGACGTAATATTCAGTATCGGTGGATTTTTCAAAAGTGCATAAATGACTTAGAAGCTCAAGATTCAATATACATAAATGGGGCTTGTACCCTTATGTTGCTTAGGTTCTTCTGATAAGTTGCTGTGGGGAAAAAGAATCCCGTTATGAACATGTTCTCCTTTTGATATATCCTTGCAAGTTATTGACTGCTGTGCATGGTAATCCAGTTTATTAGGAGGAATTCTTTCATCTCCTCCTGGAGTCTCTCAAACCCTTTCTATCAATCGAACAAGTTTGTTTCTTTTACTCTCATGTAAATAACCCTAGTGCCTGGAGATCATGTTGCTTTTGCTAAAATAATCAATTATCCTACCATCACAGAAGGAGAGCCCTCTAATACTTTGACTAGAAGGCACAGTGATGCCTTGATGAGTAAGTCACCTTATTATGGCATTAAAATATACCTCTTCCATAGATCATGGCTGCTTGCACCATGAAAAAATAGTGACAACGGTGGGATGTGTTTATTACTTATAATTACAATTTTTAATCTTAAAGATAAAACCTTATCTTTGGGGAATCTCTGATGGCAGGAGCTGAATGCTGTTAGAAAGTAGGTGTCCCTGAATTTCAAAGACAACTGATATTGCCCTTGCACTACAGTTGCAATGGTCAGTGATGCTAAGCTTAATATGGTGAGTTGCTGTATAAATCACAAGATGCTTCAGTTGTGACATTCTGGAATGTAACAAAAATTAAATGGGCACCAACAGATCCCAGGAGGTACAAACATATAATCCTCTTCTCTGAACTGCTTGAAACATTTGAAGTTTTAAGGTTTGTGCTCCTTGAACTTGTGGGGTAAAATTTTCAAAAGAACTCATCATTGGCCTGATTCTGCTCCCGTTGAATCCAATGGGAGTATCACTGACTTCTCAGAGAGTAGAATTACAGAGTAGAGCTGAGCATTCTTGAAAATCCCACTGATGATATTTCAGTGACCTCATTTCTCCCACCTCCCTGTTACCCAAATTGCTCACACGGCCCTAATTAAATACACCAGTCCAATAAATCCATGGTATGTTTTCAAAACCCATGTTTTACATTTTTGTGAGCATGTAAATATGGCAGCAGTGGCTAGCCATTGGCTGATGTACACAGTGCATTAGATAGCAAAGGGCTGGATAGAATGTGGGACACATTACCTTTTTTCCAATATGTGTCATTTTTTCAGCATCTTTACCATGACTGAATTACTTTTAAAATATTCCAAATGTCTAGATTTCCAGTTTGATTGGAAAGATACTAAAAATGACATGAGGGATTCAATATTGAGCTGTGCTTATTTTCAATCTTCATTTGGAGGAAAGGACATCTGGCAGCTTCTAGTCAATTTCAGTCAGAATAAAGACTTATTATTAATCAGGGAACTTTTTAAGTTCCAGCCTACTAACCTACTAGATTTCTTTGATGTTTTGAGTGATTTCCAGACACATTTTTTCCTAATCTTGTGCACAGTTCTGCACTAATTCATGCTCTAGTCACAGTGACCTATTATGAGGCTTTCTGTTTCCATGCTTGTTAATTTTAAACTTCTTATTCTATCGCAGATGGAACCATGGAAGAACAAATGTCATGATTATTTGATCTTAATATTACAGATGTGTCTTTTTGTTTTCTTTTGTTTTTTCAGAGGCCTCTTAGCTGATAGCTTCACAGAAACACACTATATGAAAGATGGCACTGATGTCATTCTCACACGCAATTACACGGTAAGGTTTGTGTCTTGGGGAATAGATGATGCTTCATCATTAAAACACCACGTGAGTGCTGCCAGGATGGGAGAGTGAAATAAAATAGCTAGCTGGATATTGTTTTTAGATTGTTGCCTTTGGCAACTGCTTGTCCCTATGTACCTAAGCAAGAATTTTGAGGGGGAAATTTTCAAAGTGAGGCTTGGGGAGTTTCACCATTGACTGTCATTGAAACCTATAAGATTTTTGCTGTTAAAGCCTTATGCAGCTCTTTGAAAATGCACTTGTTAGAGTTTTCTAGTAGGCCACAAACAGCCATTGTTGCACAGATAAGGAGTGAAGGCCTGATTCGATTAAAAAGAAAGCCTTAAAAAGCTGGCTTCCGCAGGGCAGTGTCGAAGGTCACATAAAGGCATTCCAAGGTCTGTGTGGGTTTCCACAATGCAAAAGCAAGATGTATCTTTTATTTTTTGTTTTTATTAAATCAGGCCCTAAGATATTTTTATAAAAAATATCTGGCTCACTTGCTCTTCATTAAAATGAGCACAAAATGCCTTTTTTTTCTCTTTTAAAAATGCTTTTTATAAATAAAGTACTGTTTTAAGTCACTCACATTTTTGTCCTCTGACGGCAAATATGAATTCCTTAATTAAAAACAGTGCAGCGATTGATTTTAATTATGAAGTTTATCTTTTATCTGGCTTAGTAGATCCAGCTCGGATGGAATATTTCTTTTATTTATTTACTTACTTACTTACTGTATCAGTAGAAGCATCTCACTCCATGTTATCTGTAATGAGTCTTGCAGATGACAACAGGGGAAGTATTTTCACTCACGTCTTTTTAATGCTAAGAAATATCTTCATTATGAAAAGCCAGTCATGTCCAGACTAAAGCAATCAATTTTGAAAGTTATCAGCCTCTTTCTGTGTGCATGCGTGTGGTGGTCATATCTTATTGCAATGGAAAATGGCTGATCACTTCTTTTGGAAGATTGTATAACATCAATAGCTATCCCATGGGCTCACTTTATAAAAGGAGGGATGTATAGTCTGTGCTGTAAGTAAACAGCAAAAAAGCAAGTAGATGAAAAATTTCAAAATGGTTTTAAAATTCATAATATTCAAATGAGGAAAGAATATACAACTTTTTGTGGTTCACTATTGAAGCAAACTAATCTCAGCTATGTGTCTTGCTGACTGTAGAAAGTTTCCTCTTTACAAATACATTTGAAAGAAAAGTTTTAAGTAGGCAATGTACTTTGGTACAACGATGATGGCAGAAAGACCCCAAATAAATTGTACAGTTTGCTACCTAAAATAGTTTGAAGAGACCAGTACAACACATTTTTGATCAAGAGCAACTGCAATATTGTTTAAAAGAAATGTCTTCCTGAGGTTCTATAATTTGATTTTACATCTTTTTTCATTCAGTATTCCTAAAATACCTGTATGGTGCACTCTAAACTAAACCAAGTTACTGATTTATAGTTACCCGGCTGTGGAAATGAAATCAGGTTTTGGTCATTGTGCTATTTGCAGTCCTAAGGGCATGGCTACACTTGCAGATGTAGAGCGCTTTGAGTTAAACCAGCCTTCGTAGAGCGCAGTAGGGAATGCGCTGTAGTCTGTCCACACTGACAGCTGACAGCACACTGGCGTGGCCACATTAGCAGCTCTTGCAATGGCCACAGAGAGCAATGCATTGTGGTAGCTATCCCAGCATGCAAGTGGCTGCAATGTGCTTTTCAAGAGGGGGGCGGGGTGGAGTGTGACAGGGAGTGTGTTGTGTGTATGTGGGGGGAGAAAGAATAGGTTTTTGGGGGGCTGAGAGCATGTCAGCATGCTGTCTTGTAAGTTCAGACAGCAGCAGACCACCCCACCCCCGCCTCTCTCTCTCACACACAGCATTCCACAATAATGGTTGCTTTATCTCGGAGCAGATAAGCATGCCGGCTGTCAGAAACGGAGCTTTCAAAGGGCATATCCAAAACAATGACAAGAGTGGCCACTTGACTTAAGGGGATTATGGGACATTTCCAGAGGCTGATCAGAGCGCAGTAATGCAACACCTCGTTCACACTGACGCTGGGGCGCTCCGGCGGGGGCGCATCAAATGTTGTTCTACTCACTGAGGTGGAGTACCAGGAGTGCTCTAGCCGTGGAGTCAGAGCGCTCTACGTGCCTTGCCAATGTGGACGGGTAGTGAGCTAGTGTGCCCGGGGCTCCTTTAATGCACTGTAACTCGCAAGTGTAGCCAAGTTCTAAGTCTGAGCATCTGCTTGGTGCAGATGTTACTGTTGTATTCTCTTCACATTTAGACTATATACTAAATAGCTCCCCAAAAATCTGTCATTCTGAAAGTTAATCACGGCTCTAGTAGTTAATGGTCTGCAGTAAAGCCAGAGCACAGCTTTAAATACAACAAATCAGCTCACTGTCGTATCGATTCATTTTGGGGGGGATTATCTACTTCATTCAGTAATTTAAAACCGCAAAAGTCTTTTTTTGGTAGGTGAAAAATACTGTAACTCAACTGAGTTACTGAGCTAGAAATCAATTTTCCACTAATCCAATCACAGGATATGATCTGATAGGTTTACCGTTTTCAATATTGAACTTAAAGGAACCTTACCTTCTTGCAACATGTGGATCTTGAAGTTATGAAAATGAATAGACGAGTTCAAAGTTAATGAAATATCTAGTTGTGTGTCTGGAGTGGGAAGGAATAAGAACCTTTTCTATAATACACTCTTCGATAATGTCAGATGCACTTTAGGTGCAGTCTGTATCAGCCTAGGAATCATCATCCCCTTCCTCTTTCACCAGACACTTTCACAGACCAGGCAAGTCTACACTTAAAACACTACATCAGCGCAGTTGCATCAGTGCAGCTGTGCTGCTGTAGAACTTTAATGAAGACTGTCTAAGCCAATGGGAGAGAGCTCGCCCATCAGCGCACTTAATCCATTTCCCCAAGTAGCTATGTTGATGGGAGAAGCTCTCCTGCTGACATAGAGCTGTCTACACAGTGGGTTAGGTCGGTATAACTACGCCACTCAGGGGTGTGAAAAATCCACACCCCTGAGTGTGACATAGTTATACCAATATAGGTCTGTAGTGTAAACCAGGAGTTTGCTACATACACTGAGAGCACACAGATATCTGGCTTCCATGAGCAGCACCAGTTATAAATCGTGCTCCTGCCTCAGACTCCAGACTACTAACTCTTATGACTTTTAGTGGATGTTTATGTAACCAGGCTGTCTCAATGTCATTGAATGATAGCCCAGGTTTTTCTCCAGTTAAGGATTGGATGAGTTAAATTTATCATTGTCTTTAAAGCAGAAATATTATGGCCATGCCTAACAGCTGCATGCCCTTAGTTGTGAGTGAAGCAAACCTCTAGAGAGAATTCAATGTGTGGAATTGCTCCTCTTGTTTGTGATTTTCTTTCTCATCAGAGCGTTACTAGCACTTTACTGAGGCAGATAATGAAGACACACTAACAATAAGTTACTGACACACCATTTTTCTCGTTGCTTTAACTATGGCAAACCATATAAATTCAATTCAGATTATAACCCACTGTTCTGTATTTTGTTACATTCTCATGTTAAAAAAATGCCCCAAATAAACATTTTCTTATGAGATAAACTAATTTGCTTAGGATTCATATCTGAGCTATTCCATCTTACCCTGGTCTTTTTCTAGGTTATTGCTTTCTTTAAAAAATCAAGGTGGGCTTTAGAAGTGTGCTGTGTGCAGCTGTGTAATTGAAAACCATTCCCTGACACTGAAAAGGTTAATTAATGCAGCTAGATGTGAATGAACCAAGTAATAAAAAGGCATAGTGAGATGACTGTCAGTTGAAACATGAGTGATAACTTTCCTTTGCACTAATAAGATAGCAACCTTTTACAAGAGTATTTTCAGCTTCCGGATAGCATTTAAAGGAGCTGTGAAAAAAAGAAATGCTGAACGTGACACAATCATTACTTTCCAGCCAGTCACATAATTGCAGATGTAGTATAACCTTTAGTCAACAATAAAATTAATTTTGATTGCAGCGAGATATGTATCTTTATTGAGTCAGTATCTGTCTTGTGGTTGCCTTTTGGAAGAAGTTGGATTATTAAAGAAATACAATAACCCAGCCATAAAATGCCTTTCAAAATAGAAGACCCTCTTGTTTTTGTTTGTTCCTAATGATGTGCAGCTACCCAGCTAGTTAATTTAATAAAATGCTTCCCTTCCAACCCACTTTTCATTTGCCATGTGAGTTTCTCAAGCCATAGATTTGAGACTAGATTTAATATATCTCACAGTATGCTTAATTACCTCCTATGAATTTACATCCTATTACTAAAGAAAATTTACATCCAAGCAAAATGTTGATGTCAATGAGATTTGTTCCGCTGCTTAATGTTATAAAATGCCCCATATCATAGCTTTCAGATAACATAATCAAGGAGAAAAAACTTGTCATATTTTAAATACACTATTGATTGTCTTTTAGCAATTAGGGATGCCACAGGTACTTGTGTGGACTCCTTTGGTCCAACATTAAACATTGAGAATGCTCTTTACAATATTTCATGGAAGCAGAAAGATTGCTATCAGTGGGATCCTGGATGCTGTCGCCTGAAATCAAACAAGGTTTTTAGCTAGAAAGGAAGGGAGAACCTTATAAAAACAAGACACTGAATAGAATTTATGATTACCTAAATGTTTCCCCCTTCCTTCCTTTTTGCAATTAGGGTCACTGCTATTACCATGGTACTGTGCAAGGGTATCCTGATTCTGCAGTCAGTCTCAGTACCTGCTCTGGACTCAGGTAAGTAAGCTTTCCAAAGACATCTTGGACATCTAAAAACACATATAATGACTACAATCAAATACCATGCTTCAAGGCTTCAGTTGGTTGCCTGCAGGGGTCAGGAAGGATTTCTCCCCCCCTCTCCTCCCAATAAATAATTAGCTAGATGTATTCTGGGTAGATGTTTTTTCCATCTTCCTCTGAAATATAAAAGCTTGGCCAAACCTGGAGTTGCGACACCGGACAGGGTGGACCAGTGTTCTGAGGCGGTACCGAAAAGCCTCTTTCTAGAGCAGTGGTTCCCAAACTTGTTCTGCCGCTTGTGCAGGGAAAGCCCCTGGCAGGCCGGACCAGTTTGTTTACCTGTCACATCCGCAGATTCGGCTGATCGCGGCTCCCAGTGGCCGCGATTCGCTGCTCTAGGCCAATGGGAGCTGCTGGAAGCGGTGCGGGCCAAGGGACGTACTGGCCGCCGCTTCCAGCAGCTCCCATTGGCCTGGAGCAGTGAACCGCAGCCAGTGGGAGCCGCGATCGGCCGAATCTGTGGACGCGGCAGGTAAACAAACCGGCCCGGCCCGCCAAGGGCTTTCCCTGCACAAGCGGTGGAACAAGTTTGGGAACCACTGCTCTAGACGCTTGATTGGTGTGTCTTGCTCAGAGTCATACTACTCTCTAGATTTGGGGTAAGGAATTTTCCTCCAGATCACATTTGGAGGGACCTTGGAGTTTGCACACAGCCCCCGCTCTAATTCTCCTCCAATCGGCGCCGCAAGCCTGGGGGAGGAGAATTAGAGCGGCGCCGGCGTGCTCAGTGGAGGAGGCGGAGCGGAGGTGAGCTGGGGCAAGCTCCCTGGGCGGGGTTAGCTGCCGCAGGGGCAGGGGGGGCTCCCCAGGTGGGGTTGGTGGTGGGCGGGGTTAGCTGCCATGGAGGGGGGCTCCCCGGGCGGGGTTAGCTGCAGAGGGGGGTAGCTGCAGAGGGGGGGGGCTCCCCGGGCAGGGGGGGCGGCGGGCTCTCCGGGTGGCGGGCTGGGTTAGCTGCCACGGCGGACGGGGTTAGCTGCCGCGGGGGGGGGGAGGGGCATGGTTAGCTGCCACGGGGGGCGGCATGGTTAGCTGCTGCAGGGGGCGGGGTTAGCTGGGTAGGGGGGTGGCGCAAGGTGGAAGTTTCGCCTAGGGCGCAAAACTTCCTTGCACCGACCCTGATCACAGACATCTCCTTGTTAGGATGGGGCACCCATCTAGATGAGAGGGACATGGAAAGTGGAGACTTTCCAAATGAATTTCAGGCTGCATGTTATGAGTTAACAAACACCCCTCCTCCCTAAGGTCTGAGAGCCCACTCTACTAGGGCCAAGACCCCATCAGTACCTCACTTGGGGATGTTCCTCTCATTGAAAACTATAAGGCAGCAACGTGGGGTTCTGTCCATACCTGCAATAGACATTACACTCTGGTGCAAGCTTCTCTAGCTGATGCATCTTTCAGCACAGCAGTACTCCAGTCATTGGTACCACAAAGATTCCTGCATCTTCTTCCTCAGTTAATACTGCTTGTCAGTCACCCACAGTGGAAAACACATAGGGACCATCACTTGAAGGAGAAAGAAGGGTTGCTTATAGTGTATGGTAACTGGAGTTCTTTGAGATGTGTGGTCCCTATCTGTATTCCACTATCTGCCCTCCTTCCCCTTTGCTTCTGATCCTTGATGCATGATTCATGGTAGAGAAGGAATTGAAGAAGCAGTTGGTCCACACCGCCCTTTATACCCTTGGTTCAGCACATGAGGAGGAGGAGGGTGCAGGAACAGACCAACTGACACTGCTAGCAAAAAACTTCTGGACTCAGGCGCATAGAGGTGAGGCACACCCAAAGTGGAATACAGATAGGGACCACACATGTTGAAGAACTCTAGTTACTGTAAAAAGTAAATAACTTTTCTTTCTTATTATACCTTTCTCCACTAAATTAAAAATCCATTTTAAACCCAGTATTTTCTCCCCATGAAGCACTTATGCACTAATCAAGTCACCTTTCACTCTTCTTTTTGATAAGGTAAACTGGTTGAGTTCTTTAAGTCTCTCACTGTAAGGCATTTTCTCTAGCCCATGAATAATTTTTTCAGCCCTTTCTCCAATTTTCAAACATCCTTCTAAAAATACAGACACCAGAACTATACACAGTATTCCAGTATCAGTCTCATCCATAGAGCTGGCTGAAATTCGGGATTTCCAGTTTATGAGAAATGTTGACTTTTTGAAATTTGGTTTTTGTCCAATTTGGATTGAAACCAATTTTTTTGAAATTTCTTGTTCCTAGAAAACCTGAAAAAACTTCATTTCAGAAACACAGCCACATGGTGTTTCCTAAACAAAATATGCTCCCTGGACCAGAAGCTGCTGATTGAATTGACATACTTGTAAGGGGAAACTGACAAGAATTTCAGTTTGTCCATAGTTGCTGGGATTCCCAAGTCTGCGACTCTAGTGCAGACTTGCGCTTGGAGCAGAAAGTGGTGAGGTTTGTGGTGGTCCTTTGTTCCGGGGGGTGGGGGACCTTTGTCCCAGAGCTTTAGATGATTTTGTTAGATATCCTGGGCCCAGACCATGGAGTGCTTTGAAGATAAGGACCTAGACCTTGAACTTGATTCAAAATTTTCTGGGAATCCAGTGTAGAGAGTGGGTTCCCCATTGACAGCTATGTTTTGAGATCTGTCAGTTAGTCAGTTCTTCATCCATTTAATGCGAGCTTTATCAATATTGGACAGTGCTACGTTTTTAATCAGAATGTTATGCAGTACTAAGTCAAAAACCTTACAAACGTATGATACTACACCTACACAGTTACTTCTATCAACCAAACTTGTAATGTCCTCAAATAACAAAGTCAGGTTTGTTTGACAAAAACTATTTTCCATAAATGCCTGGTGACTGGCATTGATTATATTCCTGCCCTTAATTCTTTATTAATGAGGAATGCATATTCCCTGCAGCTGCTCAAGGGGGACATCAACAGGCTAGTAGAATTTTGGGGAGTCTATATGATTCCCGTTTTCGCATGGCAGTTGTGCCCAGGTGATGCTATATTTTATTCTGACAGTGCACTGGTTGGCATATCTATCAGACTGTGACAGAACCTGGTTGCCTTCCAGTCCTTGTTTAGCTGTGGAGTCCTCAAACATGTCCCCCCGTGGTAGTGAGCAATGGTATACACTAGCAATGACAGAACTACTGTGCAGCTGCTAACTCCTACAGCTTCCAACAGCCCAGTAGTTCTGAGAATTTGCTTCCTAATGTGACTACGAAGCTCAATAAATTGTGGTGGTGAAAGATATGACACGTAGCAAGTAGTTTAGATGCTAATGTTAACCCAAAAAAAAAAAAAAAAAAAGAGTGAGAGAGAGACACAATGTCAAGAAAAAAATTAAATTAACCAATTTAATAATTTCTCAGGCAACTTTCAGAAAGGCACTGACTGATGGTAGTTTTTAAATACACCATAGACATAGTTCAGGAACCAATTACCCTTCCTAGTTGGTCAATCACAGAGTGGTATTTACTCACAGAGCAGTTCCAAATCACAGTAATTAACTGTAAATTGGCTCTTGTGTTCTCCCTGGAAAACCAGTTTTCCTGTCAAATTTCCAGCTGTCTCAGACTTTTCTGAGTTTGTTTAATTTATCTACAAACAGCATGACTATTTGAGCCTTTCCCTCCTCTGTTTTGCATTCCGTATGGTGGTGGTATTTTCAAGGCTTTTATATTATAGCCTTGGAGATAATAGGAGCAGAGGAGGAAGAAAACAGAGAGTGAATAAGCAATTTGTTACCAAAATTCTTATCCTTATTAAAAGGGCAACCTTGGCCATAGTTAGTAGGAGTCCACTGTTGTCTACCAGCAAGAAAACATTTTTATGGGTGCTTTTCCATCTATCTGGCATCTCCACTAAATTTTATTCTAGTTAACCTATTATGTTTGTGGTATTTTAGACAGCATTAGTCAAATATAAGCCATTCTCATGGCAGATAAAAAATAATTTAGTGCCCCTTAAATATTTTAAAGAATTGCATGATTACAGTGAAAGCAGTGCTAGGTGGTCTACCGCAGCTAGGAAAAATTTGCCGTTTGTGCAAAAAATAAAAGATAGTATTAGTCCTGCACCCCAGAGCTATTTACAAAGAAAAAAGCTAACAAGAAGAACAGTTTGACTGCACGTTAAATGTGGTTTCTCTCTTTTCTCTGATTCATTCTCTCTTTCACTTTTGGTGAATTTTGTGCTCACAGCTGAATGACAAGCCTAGTCCTCTCTTTGGATCCAGTCATTGTTACCCAGCTCCTTACGCAGTCATTTATACCAGTGCAAAGTGGATGTAAAGCCTTATCCAGTCAGAATAGAAACATTTTTCACTCAAATTGCACTGGTGCAAGTAACTGCATACAGGGCAGGTTGGTGATAAACTGGGCCCCTTATTGGTGTAGCATCTTCTTTGCCAGGGCAGGCTTTCCTATTTCTCTGCTAATGTGGTTCAACCTTAGCATGAGGGAAGAACATCTAGGTTGAGGATATATCTCAACATCCATTTAACCGCTGCATTCTCTGTTGGGACTGGGCATACGAGTGCCCATGAGTGATAGCAGTTTTGTGATAGGAACACCTGTTGAGTTAGACCCCAAAACTCATTTCACAGCCTGGTAACAGATAATAATTACTTTGTCAGTATCTGAGCTTGAACAGAAACATACAGTTGAAAGGCTACATATTGCAATATCAGTTCCCTGAACCATCTACTTCCCCTCATTAAGATAAGTTAGGAATAAAAGGCCGGATGATGCAAAATGCTAAAGGCCTGCTGTGAAGTCCTAAGGGCGCGGAGTACCTCGCAGGTTTGGTCCCACCGTTCACATAATACCTCTCTCACAAAAACATTTTTAATAATCTCTTTTGTCAGAAACGTTAAAATGCATATTATTAGTATGAATGTTTTACTAGTATGCACAAAAAATAGTTTAAAATAGTGCAGG